TGGAAGATCAAGCAGATGGATATCATAACTGCCTTCCTCAACGGGATCATCTTGGAGGAGCTGTACATGCTGCAGCCTGAGGGGTTGGATGATGGGAGCGGCAGGGTGTGCAGGCTGAAGAAGGCCATCTATGGCCTGAAGCAGGCTCCTCGTGCATGGTACCACAAGCTGGAGGAGACACTGCTGGCTGGGGGGTTCAAGAAGAGCGAGTGTGATCACAGCCTGTTCCTGCTGCAAGAGAAGGAGCAGTTCCTCATGCTCCTGGTGTACGTGGACGACATCCTGCTCTTCTCTGAGTCGTCTGCGATGATTGAGCGTGTGGAGGAGATGCTGGAAATGCAGTTCAAGTGTTCCAAGATGGGAGATGTGAAGTACTACCTTGGGATGCATGTGGAGAGGGACCTTGACAAGGGAGTGTTGAGGTTGCACCAGAGGAAGTATTGTGAGGGGCTGGCTGAGAAGTATGGGCTGCAAGATGGAGGAAAGCCAGCCACCCCACTGCCTTCGGGGTTCACTATGGAGCCGTGTGCCGATGAGGAGGTGGTGGGGGAGAGTGACAGGAAGCTGTTTCACTCCATGGTGGGGGCACTCAACTATGCGGCTAACCACACGCGGCCTGATATTGCCTTTGCTACATCCAGGCTTGCGAGTGTGGTTTCACGCCCCAGTCATGAGCAGCTGGAAGCGGCCAAGAGGTTGGTCCGCTATGTGAGTGCAACAGCATCAGTGGGCTTGGAGTATAGTGCTGTGCGACAGAGGCTGCAGAGGGGTGCAGCTGATTTGAGCAAGGGGGAGATGCTCTTGACTTGCTACACCGACGCCAGCTTCAACTCTGTGAAGGAGGATGGCACCAGCATTGGATGCTATATGTGCCTCTTTGGAGGAGGTGCAGTGAGCTGGCGCAGCAAGAAGCAGAACGAGGTGGGGCTGTCCTCGTGTGAGACTGAGTACTTGGCCCTGCATCATGGGGAAAAAGAGGTGGTGTGGCTGAGGCGTTTGTTGGAGGAGATCGGTTTGTGCCAGAAGGAGCCGACCGTAATTTTCTGTGACAACGAGTCAGCAGTGAAGCTGGCCAAGAATGCTTGTCTCCATGGCCTGACAAAGCACATCAGGCCTAAGTGGCATTGGACAAGGAGGCTCCTGGACAAGGAGGTGCGACTGGAGCTTGTGAAGACCCAGCAGCAGGCGGCTGACATTCTCACCAAGCGCCTGACAGAATCTGAGCATTGGAAGGGCATGAAACTTGCTGGGATGAGTGTGCATTGAGGGTGCATGCTTGAGCTATGACATGTGGAATGATGGTTGGCAGCCAGAGGGGGAGTTTGTTGTGATGCTATCATTCGCATTCACGTCTGTCTGCCTCCCATCATATGCTTGTGCGGTTTGGATTTCCTGAGTGTGTGTGAATGTTATTTGGCCTTAGCATATATCTGAAGTGACTCATCTGCTCAAGAGCTTTCCGACGAGCCAAGAATCGTCGCGATCGGAGCAATATCAAGAAAGTTACGAACGTTGGAGTTCGTATGCTTTCTGTACTTCGGTTGTGGCGACTATGGGAAGTTGTGGGGTTTGCTCCATAAGGGGTATAGACTTTTGGGGTTGGGAGATTCAAACCCATCACTGTAGATGCTGCCATGTGGTTGGGAGAAGCCAAACCAGGTTGGCAAGTGTGGCCAAGTGGGAGTGAGGTGGATTTGGGAGGTTGGGAAAATGACAAGGGTGAAAGTTGGGTTGCCTATTGAGGGGGAAATTGTGTGGCATGGGGTTTCCTTGGTTGGGGACTCCCTTGGGACCTTCCCTCTCGTCCTCCTCTTCCCTCCTACCTGGTTTAGTGCTACTCTAACTCTTGTGTGTGCTTCTTGTGGATCTTTGTGAGAACTATTGTGATTGAGTTAAGCTTGTGGCAGCTTACCCCCTAGTGCGCCGAAAATGATAACTCAAGATATACTTCACCTTTTCGTACGATTCAAAGTGGGAATTGTAGCAACGGTCTAGAGCTACAACATACCCGAAATTGGTGAAGTTTCAACAGTGCGTTTTTCGTCGACGGCGTTTCTTGTGAAGTCGCGGTTTCTGTCCAGAATTCTAAGCCAACGATTTTGAGAAACTTAGGATCCTAAGCTTCATAGACTCGGTCCTTAATCTCTAACAGTTCTTGAGGTCCTCGGCTAATTCACGGAGTCGGCAGTAGCAGGCCACAAGGGAATCGTCCTTCTTCCATCAAAAGCTCCAAAATTCTTCCACCCGCTCCTTTGTCTCTCCGACGAACTCCCTCTGCAGCAGCTGAAGAAAACGGGCCGTAGGGTTGGAAATTTCTCCTTCAGCAAATTCTTCTAGAACCTCGTCTCTTGTCATTCGGCAGAATGTCTCCGCTTCTCCTGCCAGGGTTTCCACCATTTTCCTGAAGAACTCAGCCATCGCGTTCCCAACAATACCGCACAGTCTCGAGCTGCATGAGATAATTCTTCAGACTGGGTCCCACGCCTGGAATGCCAGTGTAGCGTTCCGCTACTTCCACCTTAGGCAGATTCGTCGCCTTCCAACGCCCTCCTCGATTTCCGTAGGCTTTGCTCGAGTATCCAGGTGCTTGCGCGATGCCGCTATACACCAGGGTTCCTTCTTGCAGCGTCTCCGCAGGCGGGCCACCGTTCTGGGTCCATCGCTGGTCGGATTGCTCCTTCTTCCCGGTCATCCCTGGTATTCCAGTCAGCGGAGTCGCCATGTCTTGATTCAGCCATCGCGCCCGTACTTCCTCGGTCCATCGTCGGTCTCGCGGCGTATCTCCCGAGTCCGAGACAGCCCACGGTCTCTTCCATGCTATCTGTGGCCGCCCGGGCTCGTTGATGAGGAATTTTGTCTCTTGGTGAATCCGTTGTTGGCCGTGCTAGGCCCGGCTTCCCACTCATGGCAACAGTGGCGGCTCGCCTTCCCGCCGTAGGCTAAGGTTCTCCTGTGTCGTTTCACATATGAGTACGTACCAGATCTCGGCTGTTCATCGGCAGCTATTCTTGGGTGTTTGTTGAAAAGGTCTCAGACAACTCTATAGAGCAAACCCTAGCTCGGAAGACTGAGATCTTGGGCGAACGTTTTCTTAGAGGGCTTGCGCGGATTGGCTTCTTGTTGCTTAGCCATGTACGACCACGTAAAACTGTTTAAGCATAAGTGTGAAAACAAACACGCAAGCACATCACCAGTCCTGCCTATTTTCTTAAGTATTACCTACTGGTTACTGTTGCTCTAACGTCGTACAATCGCCCGCCGAATCTTTATTTTTGGTTCGCTCGCTTCTGCATTCGGCTGCTCCAATATTATCCTAGCTACTGTGTTCTTTGATTATCCTACAAGTCACGAGTTTGTATCTAAGGCATCCGAAGGTGGAGCTGAGAGCGAGTGACCGGTAGGCAGAGGAGTGGACTGTGGCGAGGACCACGTGGAGCCAAAGCGCTGAAGGACCTGCTGCACCATATGTGACTGAGTCAGGGTGATGGTGTGCCGTGCTCTGTCCCGGGTGATCTGCAAGCCAAGATAGCTTCACAGCTCACCCAGGCCTGTGCACGTGTGTCTCTTCTGCAGCTCCGACTTCACAAAGGCGAGTCCCTTAATGTTAGTGGTGGCAAAAACCAAGTCCTCGACGTACACGAGGATGTAGAACGGCGGCAGCGAAGTGTCGGTGAGGAGAAACCGCGACGGGTCCGCAGTCGAAGGAGCAAACACAAGAGTCGCAAGTGTTGTCCTCACTTTGTCGTGTCAATCACGAGGCGCCTGGCGGAGACCGTAGACTGGCCATCGGAGGCTCCACTTGGTGGGCCTAAAGGAAACGACCCAGTAAAGCCAGGTGGGCGGCGCAACCAGATCTCCTCGTGCAGGCTGAAGTCAGAGAGTGGAGCTCGTAATCACGCTGAGCGAAAACGTGCGGCGGCACCCGGAGAGTGGTTATTTTCAAGGTAGAGGAGAAGGTCTGGAACAAGTCAACTCTTCAACGCTCACTAAAGCCTCGTGCAACGTAATGAGCCTTGAAGACAGGCGGAGAACCCGGCGGCTGCATCTCCCTGAAAATCCACATGCCATCTCTGCGTCCGTGGCCGTCTGCCACTGAGAATTGTAGGGACCCGTAATTTCCTCTACGTAAGAGCGCGGGGTCGGGATGTCTAAAGCATCCGGGTCTCCCTCAGGGGCAAGCAGCATGGACACGAGATGAGGTACAGCAGCCGCAAGACACTCAAAGTCCTCCTGCCTGTCCTCAATGACGTCCGTGCCAAGAGCACACTCACCCCCGACGGACGGATGGCCGACAGGCTCAAACTTAGCAACAAGACAAGCGACGTAGTCGAGACGACACGCAGCAGCAAAGTCAACAAGCTCAGCAACTAAGGCAGACGCAGCAATGTTCTCAAACGGAGGGTCGGTGACAACAGTGGCTAGGAGACGCGTGACAGTAGGGCTGGCAGCACGAACCAAGTCAGACTCTGGGTCCGTAACGCGCGGAAGAGAGGATGCAGGAGGAGATGCCAGGGGGACACGCTGCGGAACAGAGGAAGGACGAAGTGCCATAGTGTGAGTGCCAGGAACAGGATTAGGACGCTGACGAGGAACACGACGACCAGTGCGAACAGCGCGAACAGGCGACGTAGGACGAGACTCAGGCTCACGACGCTCTATAAGAAAGTCCGTCTGCGCGGTGTAAGGACAAGGAGCAGGCAGTGAGGAGTCTGGCTGTAACTGTGGCCTCGACTAGTTAGGCGGTGGACACAGTAAGGGAGGAGTAAGGCCAGTAGAAGACGGGAGACTAAGAACCTGGCGAAGTACTGAGTCAGGCAGTAGCAGAAACGACGGTGATGGCAGACCGAAGAACAATCGCGGCTGTGAAGTACCACTAGCACCAGCTCCTCCAGCAGCTCCAGCACCTCCAGTAGCTCCAGAACCTCCAGCTCCAGCTCCAGCACCTCCAGCAGCTCCAGAACCTCCAGCTCCAGCGCCTCCAGCACCAGCGCCTCCAGCTCCTATGTCACCAGCTCCAACGCCTCCAGCTCCAGCATCTCCAGCTCTAGCGCCTCCAGCTCCAGGGTCACCAGCTCCAGCGCCTCCAGCTCCAGCGCCTCCAGCTCCAGGGCCTCCAGCTCCAGAGCCCGCAGCACCACCAGCTCCGGCAGCTCCAGTACCTCCAGTACGAGCACCTCCGGGACCAGCAGTGCCAGCACCACCAGCACCTGCAGCATCACCAGCTCCGGTAGCTCCAGTACCTCCAGTACGAGCACCTCCAGGACCAGCAGCTCCAGCTCCTCCGGTACCTCCAGCTCCAGTGTCTCTAGTAGTAGTGCCTCCAGCGGCAGGGCCTCCAGCTCCAGCAGCGCCACTCCAAAGGCGGGTGCCCTGCGCATCCATTCGGGCAGCTGCTCTGGTGAGAGAGGCTCCCGTCGGGGAGACCGCCGCGACGAGGCACCCGTAGGACCTCCGGTAGACGAAGCACCCCTAGGCTCAACTCCCCCTTCCAGACTCAGCACCCCCAGGCTCCGCACCCGCAGGCTCAGCACCCCCAGGCTCCGCACGCTCAGGCTCAGCACCTCCAGGCTCTGCACGCTCAGGCTCAGCACCCCCAGGCTCCACACCCGCAGGCTCAGCACCCTCAAGCTCCGCACCCGCAGGCTCAGCACCCCCAAATGCAGCACCCCGAGCAGCACCACTCCCAGCAGCACCTGAGTTACCAGTAACCTCGACAGGCTCAACCAAGGGGAGTGGGTCTACCTGAGACACACCTGAAGGAGCAGGACCCTAAGGGGGGAGTGTTGTTCAGGATCCGTCACTTCGAGAGCTTACGACGAACTCATTTCTCACTGAAACGCAAATCCGCTCGGTAGGATATTGCGCCTTTAGCTTAGCTACCATCTCCAATTTGAATCACTTAAAAATATGGTCTTTAGAGTGAGAACGATATGACAACGTCCAGCAGCCGCATGACTAGGATGGTGGAGGAAGTACAAGCATTAAGGCATAGAAAGTTGGAGTTGGGAACCTCCAAGAGAAACATGAAAGGGAAGGGGTTCCCCAAGAGCCAGGAAAGGATGGTAGGAACCTTCCTAGCAGCAAGAATACAACCCTCATCATGAGGTCCTTGAGGTGTCACATGCAAAATCCAATCTAGTTGAATTTTGCCTAGGTGTTGCAACATTTGCAACCCATGCTAGAAACTTCTAGCCACCCCAATCCAAAAGTCAAAGTTGCCTTCCTAACCACCCAACCAAAGATCCCTTTATAGTCATGTCCCAATAATCACCCAAAATAGATAAAACCCCAAAAGGTAATAAGAAATCCAAGTCTTGGAAATCTTGTAACTTGGGCGATCTTGGTCGGAATAAGGCGATCTTGGTATCGTTGGAAAGCTCTGGATTTCTCCTGCATGATCAAGCATTTAAACTTAGAGAAAAACACAGAGATGATAATATCCAACAGCCATGCACAATGACATATGCTCATGCAAACAATGCACGCATGAATAGCACGAGCACTCAGCAGCATGTTAGGATGACATGCACTCAGAATGACGTGCATCCAACATGGAGGGGGTCTACCGGAGGGGGACCTGGAGCGAGGAAGAGCGGCGGGGGGGGGGGGGGGGGGGGGGGGGGGAGGGGAGGGGCAGTGCCGTAGGGGAAGAGACGATAAAAGGGGACCGACTCATCAAACGTGACAACCTGAGAGGGCAGGACACGGCGCGAGGTGGGGTGGTAAAACTGCCAACCAGGCGCGTCAGGGACAAAGCCAAGGAAGACACAGGGAACAGCGCGGGCGGAGAGCTTGTCCGCGGTGGTATCGCGGACAAAGGCACGAGCACCCCAGACCCGGAAACGCGACGCATCGCCAACCTTCCCCGTCCACATCAGTGTGGGCGAGGTCTCCGGCAAGGAGACACGGGGCCAGAGGTTGAGCTGATGCGCGGCGTACCGGACCGCAAACGGCCACAGAAAATGGGGGGCAGCCGCATGGATCAGGGAGGTACGAGCGACCTCCATGACTAAGCCAATGCGGCGCTCAGCAACCCCATTCTGCTGCGGAGAGGCCGGAAGCGTGAACGACTGGGCGATGCCGTGCTCCGCACAGTAGGCTGCCAAGAGGTTGGAGGAGAACTCACCACCTCTGTCAGAGTGCAGACGCAGGACAGGAAAGTCCGACCGGAACCGCTCGCGGAGCTGGAGACGAACTGCGCGGATCCAGGGGATCAAAACAGCAGGGACATCCGCCTTGCTCCGCAAGGGGAAGACCGTGGTGTAACGCGTGTAGTGCCGTAGGGGAAGAGACGATAAAAGGGGACCGACTCATCAAACGTGACAACCTGAGAGGGCAGGACACGGCGCGAGGTGGGGTGGTAAAACTGCCAGCCAGGTGCGTCAAGGGGGGGGGGGGGGGAAGCCAAGGAAGACACAGGGAATGGCGCGGGAGGAGAGCTTGTCCGCGGAGGTATCGCGGACAAAGGCACGAGCGCCCCAGACCCGGAACACCGACGCATCGCCAACCTCCCCCGTCCAACGCATTCTAGGCGAGGTCTCCGGCAAGGAGACACGGGGCCAGAGGTTGAGCTGATGCGCAGCGTACTGGACTGCAAACGGCCACAAAAGTTGGTGTGCAGCTGCATGGATCATGGATATATGAGCCACCTCCTTTACTAGGCCAATGCGGTGCTCAGCAACCCTCTGCGGAGAGGCCGGAAGCGTCAACGACTCGAGGATGCCCTCTTCATGACAAAAGTTCCACAAGAGGTCGGAGGAGAACTCACCACCTCTGTCAGAGTGCAGACGCAGGACAGGAAGGTCCGTGTGGAACTGCTCGCGGAGCTAGAGATGGACAGCGTGGACCCAAGGGATCAAGACATCAAGGACCTCCCCCTTGCTGCGTAAGGGGAAGACCGTGGTGTAGCGGAAATAAACCTCGTCAACAACCAGCAGAAAATAACACTCGCGATCTAGTCCACGGACGTGGGCTGGGCCCCACACGTCCATGTGGAGAGTCTGCAGGGGAGCGTCTGTCGGGGGAAACGAGGAGGAGTGAGGAGCAGCGTGATGCTGCCCCTCGACGCAAGGAAGGCAGGGCGGGGCAAGCGAGCACGGGAGGGAGGGCAGAGAGAGGCGGGAGTGCATGCTACGAAGTTGTGGCAAGGAGGGGTGACCAAGGCGGTGGTGCCAGAGGAGAGTTTGGTGCGAGATGTGGAAACACGAGCACGGGGCTTCTACTTGGCCTGACACGGACACCTGACCAGATGCAGCTACTTGGAGAGGCCTAGTGGTCTATGTATGCAGGCTCGACCCAAGCCGACGGGTAAACGTGGTTAGGTGGCGGCCCGTCCACGTACACATGCAGATCTCCACACGCTGTCCACAAGTAGTGGTGGTAGTGACCATCGCATCCTGGAGGGCAGCGGTACTCACCAAGTTTGTAGAGAACGAGGGGAGGTGGAGGCCTGACAGTGAGCCAGACGGAACCGCCGGACACGGGAGAACAGTGGTGGAACGTGCAAGAACTGGGCCCCCTGAGGGGTCAGCCAGTCCGATTGCAACCGGTGCAGGGAGTGGTGTGAGTGTGGTACTGTCGCGAAAGAAACAGTGGGAAGCACCTGAGTCAAACGTGAAGGTGTGCAAGGCCTCAGCAGGCGCAGTACCAGAGAGAGCAGACTCTGCGGAGATTCACTCTACAACGGTAGTGAGCTAGACTACGGGGGTTGGCACGAACTACTAGGAGTGATCGTAGCTATGCTTGGTTCCTTAGTACTTGCGCATTCACGGGAGAAATTGGCAAGAGTTTCCACTAGCAAAGTTGGAATTACAGAATGATTGAACAAGCAATGACAGAACTGACTACATCAGGCACCTAGCAATTCTTGGAGCTAGCCTGGTCGACCGCCAGCACTGCATGGTCGACCGCCTGCCAGCGTTGCATAGAGGAGCCGCGCCAGCACTGCAGAAGAGCGACCTGCCAACACTGCAGGTCGACGGCGTGCCAACGCTGCAGCTGTGCGGCTGTTTAGCATTGCCCCGTAGAAGACAGCAGTGCGCACGCTCGCAGGTGCGCGCAGACGATTGGCCCGACTTGCCTCGTTGGGCATCCGTCAGCTGTTGTCTGCGCCTGACGAGCCACATCGACTTCGGGATACCAGCCTGCAGTCGCCTTCGCCATGCGACCTCGACGACGTTCGCGTGCCTCCGCAGAACTCGTATAGCAGGTTACCTGGTCGACCTGGACACCACCAGGTGCTCCCGGTCGACCACCAGGTAGCTCCGGTCGACCACAAGGTGCCTCCTGTCGAGCACCATGTACTCTGGTTGACGGTAGCCCCCGTCGAGCATCTCCCTGGTCGACGGACCCCCTTCTGTCGACCAGAACAGCCATCGGTCATCGCCAAGCTCAACTCATCGACCGCTGCTCACTTGTCAGGTCGACGGACCGCTCCGCTGACCTTCCCGTCGAAGTGTTGGTCAACGGATTGCTCCATTGACTCTCTGGTCGAATTGCAGGTCGACGGGATGCTTCGTCGACCTCCCGGTTGAGCTGCAGATCGACAGGATGCTTCATCGCCCTCCCAGTCGAACTGCCCCTCCTGGTCGACGGCCCACCCGTCGCCCAGACCAGTCAGTTGCAGCTGTCGAGCTCCCTGGTCGACAGCAACACCACAGCGGTCTCCTGCAGCTCGACGAAACCTGTCGAGCAGCTCTCCCACTGTGAACGGTCGGCTGCTACTCCCGTACATCCGACCAAGTCGTTGGCATTGCCCAAGCGAGGGCGTTGCCAACACTCCATTCCCGTTAACACTCCCCTGCCACGCTCACACTTGGGCATCCAACCCGTACGGCAGTACTCCACGTAAAAAAACTCGTCCTCGGCGTGCACCCCACACACAGCACGCCGTCACCGCACCAGCCGTGCAGAAGGGCACGGCACCTACTGCTACATCTCATCGTCGCCGTCGCCGACGTCGGCCAGACGAACTTGGCCGATGGCGACAGAGCACCGGTTGAAAGCCGGAAAATGCAGCGCCTTCGTCAGGAAGTCCGCCGGCTGCTCGGTGGTCGGGATGTACTTCAGCTTGAACTTTCCGTGCTTCACCATGTGCTGCAGCCAGGCGTAGCGTCGCTCCATGTGCTTGAGGTTGCCCGTCAGCCCCAAGCCCTCAGCGACCGTGATTGCCGACTTGTTGTCGACGCGGAGGATGGTCGGCTTCCCAGCGTCGAGCAGCTTGAATTCCGCAAGAAGGAAACGAAGTCGACGCCCCTCCTTGCCAGCATCTGCGGCCGCGACGTACTCCGACTCGGTCGACGAAAGCGTTGCGCACTTGATGCGCGAGCTCGACCAGGAGACAGCGGCCCCTCCGTAGACGAACACATAGCCGCCCGTGCTCGTCCGCTTCTGCTTGTTGCCCGCATCGTCGGCACCAACGTAACCGATCAGCTCCAGCGACGCTCGTCCACCGCCGAATTCCAAAGCAGTGTCGCGGGCATCTGCGAAGTAGGCGAGGCAGCGGTTGACCTCGCGCCAGTGCTGGTTGCTCCTCACCGTGAGGCCGCTCCCTAGCTTGCTGCAGGCGAACACCATTTCTGGCCTCGTCGTCGTCGCCGCGAACTGCAGCGAGCCAACCTTCTGCCGGTATTCCTCCTCCTCGCGCTCCTGCGCCTCCTCGCCGTCGAATGTCAGCTCGGCATAGGCGCCAACCGAGACCGGCGTCTTCGGAACTCGACCGCCCTGCTCCTCGTCAATGAAGCGCCTACGCAGCTGGTCGGCATAGCCCTGCTGGTGCAGCCACAGCTTCCTCGCCGACCTGTCGCGGACAATCTCCAGCCCAAGATACTTGACGATCGGCGAGATCTCCCGCAGCTCAAAGGCGAACTGCAGCAGCTCCTTCA